TCATCGTTGTGAAAGATCATCATTTGATCGCCCCATCTCTCTCTGTGGAGGCAATAAGCAAACTTTCATTGAGTCGCCTTGGAGGAGCCTTCATACGGTGTCAGAGATACCTGCTGTCTATATGCATCGCCAGGCAAGATGGAGTTGTGTGTGTGTGTGTGTGTGTGTGTGTGTGTGCATTCATGTTACGTCTCGGTCGTGAGTTGACAAGCAGCCGGAGGGAAAGAGAGGCCTGATGGGTATTATGCAAATGCAGCCAGCTGTTTGCTGCATTGGCAGGAGCCTCAGAACTCTCTTCTAGTTCTTCTGGAAATGAGAACATTACTGTTGCTGCGCTCATAAAGTGCAGAGTGAAGAGGTATTTCTACATGCCGTAATTTCCTACACACCCATCTTTCTACGGCGTTCTTACCGCCGTTCCCCCAACGGACGCACACCAATCCGACTGCACGGCTACGATAAAGGATGGACGAACGGGGAGAGCCTCCCAAAGCATTTGTTGACTTCTGCAGTGTGAAGTGAATTATTCCGAGGCTCCGGATTTACGGCTCAGTGGGAAACCAAAAAGGTTTCATGTTATAGAAACTCACGTTAACTCTGGCGCTAATTGGCACCGGTTCATCGAACTCATCAATGCCTGATGTGGCAAATGGATGTGCAGATTAGCATATGACATCATCTCGGCACCATCCAACAGCCGCCAACGTTACGTGTTCAACAGGCCAGAACTAGAGCTGTTGAGTTATTCCAGGCCACTCCAGGCGACAGATTTTTTCGAGAGGGTCTCAAAGCGAGCGGGATGGGCCGAACCGTTTAAAAATCTGAACACGTCTGTCTTTGATCTTTTCAGGTACGAGCAAAAGAAACATACTAAAAAAGGACATTTTTGGAATAACAAAAATAAAAGAAACACGTCCTAATCACAGAGGTCTCAAGCCAACCCGTAAAAGTGGCGTCATCTTTTCCGTTCCTGCATCACCTGCTGAGTACTTTCTGCGCGGATGGAAGCACGTCGACAGACCTCGTGCTCAATGATTTGCGGAACGGGTTCATCTGAATTCAACTCCAGCCGACGCCTGCTTCCGCAACCGTAAGCGCAGGTGTGTTGCAGTGCACTAAAGGAACGATCTCCTCAGGCAAAGAGGTGGCAGCAAATGCTTTCTCAGAGAGTCGAATTGATTTGGTTGACGGTCGGCCTCGTGGCGATTACCTAGCGGAGGTCTTAGTCTTCCCTGCTTCTTATTTACCGCTACATTAGCAGCGGGTTGCACCTCGAATAGAAAAAAAAGGCCCAGCGCGGCGAGCCCTCAACGCGGTGTGAAATTACAGCGGCTCTGCACTCCGAGGCCTCATGTAAATGAAAGTTGTCGCAGCGCTGTTGCAAGTGTCACCTGTCACCTCGGTGTTTACCCCCCTTCTCTCCCCGCAGACACACAAGTTTATCCACTCCGCCGGAGTTGTGCGGCGTGAGGGGAGGTGGATGACAGCAGGACCAGCTCAAAGCGCTTCTGGTTCTTCTTCATTATCAGATAAAAGGTAAAAGGTAAGATAACCCCCAGTGAAATAAAATAATCTATAAGCCTTTTAAATGATGTCACACTCAGGTTATTAAATTACAACGGATATTTTTATGTGCAATGTGAATATCGACGAGACAATGTTTTGCTGAGTTACAAATTAAATTCAGAATGCTTTTATATTATTAGACCTCTTCAAGGTCAAGTTCTGATTGAACCGGAGGAAAAAGCTCTCTCATCGCACGGGAGCCTCATGCAGGAACGCAAACTGGATTCTAACTGGTGGTGTCAGAACTGCTGCTGGTACGTGTGGGTGAAAATGCAAATGAAACGGATTAACAGCTGAACATCACACTGCAGGAGTCCAAGGTTGCACGGTAAAAGCACCCAGTGGGTGCGTGTGCTCGTCCAGAGGTACATTTCAGCCTACTGTAGCTGTTAGGAAACGATCCATAGTGTTATCACTCTCTCTCTTCCTCCCTTACACACAAGCACTGGAGTAACGGGCTCAGATCAATAACTCTATAGTGCTAACAGAAGGCTTCCACAGCAGTTTAGGGTCTTGTTGCCCACACACTATTTTGACACACACACGCGAAAATACTGATTATTCAACAGCAGAGCTGTGAGCCACACACTGGGTACATTTATTGCACCTGAGCCGAGTAGAAAACCATTAAATAGAAACTCAATGCCGCAGATGGACTCGGGGTGATTAGTCTGACCACTGTTACCGAGGGATAAGCCTCCAAAAAAATCAATGCCAGATACTTAATGTGGTAATATTGGGTAAATAAACAAACACTGAGTATTGAACTTTTATTATATGGAATAATAATAATGCAATTAGGGATATTGGGGTTAACTGTGGATATATGAGGTTGCATATGGTGTCATGCATTGTAGTTAAATCTCATCTTTTCCCCCGTGTTTAGTGAGTGAGAAAGAGTGAGATATGATGTAATCATATGTGGTAGTAAAACTGTATGACTTGAGTTGTTTCACAGCGAAATGAGTAGATATTAGAAAATGATAAGCTCTTCTTCCAAACATAACCAGCTTATTACACATGATTAAAGACACAGCCGTGGTGTTTTTAGATGATGATGATGATGATGACACATATGAGTATATTGGCAGTCTGCCGATTAGCAATGGATTGAAGTGAGGTGAACCGAGATGCTGAGTAAAGGCATAATTTGCAGTTGCAAATGGGTAATAAATAAATTTCATATTGTGCCATAAGTATCTTGATTATATGGTATCGTGGAGCATCTGGTGATGCCCCCCACAGTGTTACCCCTGACACTGTTGACACCAAATGAGTGTCAGGATTCGCCAAGTGTTCCGTTCTGTCCTCTGCTTCCCTTGTTTGAGCTGCAGAAGGCGTCCAATAACTCGTCTCCCCAGAACAAATACAGCGATGATAAGGTGCCGTAATCAGTCGCTCATTGTCTCCCTCTATCCCTCCTTAGTCTCCCTCCCTTGCCCCTTTACGTTTCTTATCATCAGTCGCCCCCCTTCATCTCTCGCATCCCCCTCCTCCTCCTCCTCCTCCTCCTCCTCTCGGTTCCTGCATCCAGTTTGCATTTTCCTTCCAATAAATTCTCTCCTCGGAATAAACATGAGAGGAGTGGAGAACTAAACGGTGAGCGGGCCGATAGCGGCAGCATCCATGTGTGTGGGTGAAAACAAAGTGAGAGAAAAAACACTCACGGCCATGAATGTACTTACTCTCGTTCTCACCCCTCCGCAAGAAAGTGTTGAAAGTAAAGTAGATTTTAATTCCCTCCCCGTCTCCCTTTTTGCTTCCTCCTTCCCAGTGCCATATGCTCAAAGCTCCATCTCGGGCTCATTTGGAGTGCTGCATATACACACTCACACAAACACACACACACACACAAGCTCTATCAAAGCACAGGAACAGCTGGCTTGCTCGATATGGATGACTACTCGGCTGTCAACCACACACATTTGCACACAGACACACACATCATCAAGCCTGGTGTTTCTTGCCATTTTAAAAGGGGAAGTGTGACCGAGAGACCGAGAGACAGAGAGAGAGTTAAGTAAGTGTGTGTGTGTGTGTGTGTGTGTGTGTGAAGTTTGGGATTGTTGACATTCATTTGACATTTCAATCAGCTGAATATTCTCCATATCGGTGAGTAGTTAAAAACGCAGCTTGTGTCACTGTTACACAACTCAATTACCGATGGTGAGCGCTGGTGTTATTTACCCCCGTCGCACCATGTCAGCTCACTTTATCCCCTCGGGTGCGAGAATCTGTGTCTGTCTACGGCTGTCTGACCGTACACTTTGTGGGTTGTGAAAACATATTAACATTTTCACTTTGGTCCAGGGACATTACACGAATGCTGTTGATTAGTAAAAAAGTTGGAACGAATTTCATAATTAATTTTTCCGAAAGGCCAGCGGAGAAACCCGTAACATGTTTCTGATACATATGACTAAGGCAGAGAAATCCGCACGACCTAGTGCGTCCACACGAAAGTGGAGATCATATCTGGTCGATTCACGTTAACGCGTCATCTACGCTAGACGCAACGGGCGTGGCTTATCACCCTGAAACGGTTCAACTTTCCGCCATTGTTTTTCCTCCGCATGGACCTTGGAAGACGTATGATAGCTCGATGGCTCGGATCGGGGACCGGACCACACCGCTTGCACATCACACTTCTCTGCTGAGGGACCTGTCCCATGGCAAGATGGCGTATGCTTGAGCACGTCCAAAGGGCTATTTTAAGAGCCACACGCGTGTTATCATGGAGCAAACTTACAATATAAGTACGAGGATGTATCAAACCGCTCGGGGGTACCGCTCTCTGCAGCGCGCGAGTGACGACGGGGAGCATTTCAACGCTCATAGGCTATCGTGCCATAGCGTCACGCTGTTCAGTTGAAAAACGTTTTCTCAAGAAACGCGTCGCTCAACCACAGATTCGCGTCGCTCTCGTCTCATGCATAAACGTTGTATGTAAACCTGTGGCACGGCGCATACGTCATCCAAGGTGTGGGAGCATTTCACACTGAATAAATTGAAAAAAGTGTGTTAATTGAGAAACAAGAACATGTTGGAGTTCTTGAGGAGGAGGGCAGTTTAACAGCAGGGTTAGTAGCTACAGAATCCTACTTTTGTTCAGTCTTGAAATGAGGAACGTAACGTGCCTCCAGCAGCTCTTCTGGTGCTGCTTTTTACTCGTTATCCAGCCTAACAAGCTAGCGTTAGCTCGTTAATGACAGTAGTAAAGCGGCGGGAGGTAAAGACTAAAGACACGTTTTTATTTACTTGCCTTTTTTTGGTCCATCCATTTTTCATATTATATATCCTGTGCTTTGTCCCATATTGGTTATTGTCAAATATATTTCTGTGTGTTGTACGTTTTAATTTTTAACAGTCGATAATACGAGATGTGCTGGCATCGTTTCACAGCAGCATTGAGGGCTAGTAGCAGTGATTCCTACCTCCCCTGTGTGGCTCAGACTCAGTTTGGGTAGTTTGTTCTTGGCGTTCCCAGTATTCCCTCCGTAGGCCTGACTGTTGTTGAATCCCTCCGTGGCCGCCAGGGGGGGCTTAAGCTGTGGCGAGTCACTCGGCACCTGGTCCTGGCCATCCATTGGGCGGACGTACGCCGTCGGCTTCTGCTGTATGGCGATTGGCTTACCCGACAGGCTGCCGGGTGGGAAGGTGGGGGTGGTCAGCCCAGACGTGGGAGTGGTTAGACCAGGGGTGGGCGTGGTCAGAACCGACGTGGAAGCCAGCGGGGAAGAGGATGTCGAGAAGTGGGAGCCGGCCTCGTTTTCATACGGTGAGGATTTAAAATGTCCACAGTTTTCCGTGTTAGTGGAAGACTTAAAATGGCCCCCGTCCATGGCGGACGATCGCAAATTGCCACCGTCTGCGAAAGAGAACGGTTAAAAGAGAAAAAAAGAGTAAAGAAATTACCATAGCAACACTTTTTTTATGGAATATATCTTACTGTGCTCTGTGCTGTCGGCAAAAAAACTACCTCTCCCAGATGGATGAAGCCAATCACAATAAAAGTAAATGATGTGGTTAGAGATCAGCTGAAAGATGTTGTTTATCATCGTATGCAGATGTTCATTTTCAGAGACCCTGCCCAAATAGGTGATTGACACTGAAATGATTCATCAGCACTCTTGGCTCCATCACATACAAATATTTTCCCGTGAATATCAAAACTCAAGAAGCAGTGTTTAAGTAAGCCACATAGGTATACTTTTAGGAAATGTGCTTATTCTTTACAAGAGATGAAGAGACAAGACGGCATGTCATGTTATTCAGATTGTCATCATAAAAACAGAATGGAAATATAATGTATATGTTTCCATATATATTCATGGTCGTGTATTTTTAATTCACAATGGACAATGGATTTAATCCATTTAAATGGAGCTTCGTGACACAAGTTTGTTGAGTTTTTCCCGTACTTTCCATTCTAGAAGCAAGACAAGACAAGAAGCAAAGAGACTGGACGCTCTGATGAGAACCAACCTGACTGTTTCTTCCTACTTAGTGTTCTAACGCTATGCTAAGCTAACTGGCTGCTGTCTATGCAGTTAGCAGAACACAGAACGCGTTGTGTCGGCCCTTTTGTCCAACGTATTCCTTTGAAACCCTTCAGTGTGGGACTTACCTGGAAGAGGGAGGCTTTTTGATGGGTGTGAAGAGTGCTTTCTCCCAGAGGAAGATAAGGAAGAGGAGGACGAAGTGGAGGAAGAAGGACTTGAGTCGCCTTTGAGACCAAGTTCATCTTTGAGTGAAATGAACAGCTCGTCGTGCCGTTGCATTTGCTGCTCCTCCAGCAGAGACATTTTCCCTCTTCCACTTGCGGCCGGCGTGATTTGCCCGTGAACCACGCTTCCTCCCTGGGCGCCCGGGCCATGGCCAGCCCTAGACCAGTCCACGGAGCTCTTTTTAGAGTTCTGATGGGGGATCCCCGTGGTGCAGGGCGCCGACGCGGCCGTGGCGGGCGGCTGCATAGAAGTTGAAGATGAGGAAGATGGGTTTGCCGTCCTCTTGTCGCCGCCTCCCTCTGGCCCCCGTCCTCCTGCTGCTCCTCCTCTCAGGTCCTCGTTGAAAAGCTGGCACTCCGTGGCAGGCCTCTCCGCCGCAGACGGGGTTGGCGTCTGCAGGTTGTTGCTGCCTTTGGGGATTCCCACCAAGTGGCTCTGGTTAGAGTGGCTGGTTAACAGGTCCTTCATTTCCTCGTAGGAACCCAGCGTGTTCTGGACGCGACTGGCCAGCGCGTCACCTTTATTAGTCTGTAAGGAAGAAAAAAAGACAAGAGTGAAGGAGAGAGGGGGAGAAAAAGGAACATTACTTAAGTCTTTAAATTTTCCTTCTCTTCAGGCTTGATGAAAAGCCCTCTTTATTCTTTCGGAGTGGAGCAGCGCTAGACGGATGGGGTTACCACTGACCAGACATCAGGACGAGATGATTAATTGGAACACATGCCACTCTTAAGAGGGTACCGTCCAGGGCCGCTGCACTAAAAGTAATGGGGCAGGAATCATTATTAGCCCGACCCCAGATTCACCAGAAATCGTGGCTTGCAGGGCAGCACTGATGTACAGCGAAGTGGCACCTTCAGCCGCGCCAACGCCAACATGTTCCTCAGAATAGCTCGAGAGTTCCTTTAGTGTCGCCCACTGACAGCTTCATTAATGATGAAGCTGCACGTTTTGGAATAAGCACAAGGGCAGTCAGCGGGGGGGTTTCACTCTGCCTATATCTGGAACCGAAATCTCCCAAAAAATAAACTAAAAAAAGCTCTGGAAGAGGAGAGAGAGCAACAGACATAATCCCCTGTTCTTTGACATTCCTTTTCTACCTCAGTGACAAATAAGTGAAGGAAATATATTAATCATGGGCCGAGTCTGAATTATTCAAGATCTGCAGCCTATAATTTAATCGTGTCATTTTCTCATGCATCGCAGACAACCATCAGATCCTTTTGAAACTTGGCTCTGGAGTTTTACTGTACGTAACTTTTTGAGTGGGTTGATTGATGGATCCGTCCATACAGGCGAGCTACTGACCCCCACCCCGCCGAGCGGTTATTTCCTCGTGTTTATCCGGTCTGTGAAATATCGTCGAGCATTAAACCGGTCTATGAGGAGAAAAGGGTTGGGGACCGCTAGTTCAACTGATCATCTGACCAAAATAATGGGGGGCGGGGGGGGTTGTGTTGTCAAATTTACCATCTTGGGGCTTTTTTTTTATTATTATGATTATTCATAATTGATTTCAGACTCAATATGCTTTTAAAGCTCTTACTAATACTTCCAACTATTTGTGTTTGGCAGAAGACAACCTGCAATGGTTAAGATGTCATCCGATTAGCCTTATGTTGGACATCGTTTCAGATCTCTGTTACCAATAAAAAAATTAATCAGAACGGAACACCAGATAAAAGTTCCGTGAGGACACACACTTGATCCATAAACCCCCTTTAAACAAGACAAATCAATATGACTGAAAGCAGCATTCATCTCCTACACCATGTCTTACTTTATCCTCATTTTTACCTTCTAATACAGAAGAAGGAAAACAAAAAGACATTTTCATAAAAGAAAGGAGAGAATCGCTTTAAAATAATCTCAACAGATGTCATGTCGGCGTGTGCGTGCACACATACACACACGCAAACACTCCGCACCGTGGCGAGCCAAAGTTAGCTGTGAATAAATTAGCTTATCTCTTCTCCATCTCGAGCTCATGAATAAAAGATCTGGTGGCTGAAGAGGAACAGAAAACACATTTACAAAGAGGCAAAATGGAAAACAGAGGAGGGCAGATGAATACCTATAAGTGTGTGTGTATGAATGTGACTGTGTGTGTGTAAATAGATCATCCCAAATAGCTGCTAACAGCATAACGCTCTTTAACAGGATTAGGTGAGGGATTAGCTAATAGCTGACAGAGAGAATGAACACTGTAGAGAGAGAGACAGAAAGACTGAACGGGAGTGACGGACACGCCGTAGATCCGAGAGAGAGAGGTGAAGAGGTGATGAAACCATTCTATAAAGTCCTGTGTGCTGATACACATCTTTAAAGGAGCAATTGAGTCAATTTCGTCAGCAATTCTACTCAAGAGACAGTGAGCGTGTACAGGACCTGGTAAAGCAACACCCTGAGACGAAAGAATAAATAAAATTAAAAAATGAACAACGTTGTTATTGTGGCAAATAGATCAGCAGAAGAACGTAGCGAGGTGTCGCAAAGTCGTTTCTTCAGTTTAATAGCAGTGAGAGATAAGTGAGAGCGGTGTGTTAAACACTACAGCAACTATCAAACTATGACTATCGAATCCATGTTGTAAATACTGAATGATAATGTTAACTTAGGATAGCACTTTGGGAAAACTTTGGGAAAAAATCGCGAGTTGACTCAACACATTATCCATGAGTTGAGTATACTCAAAAAAGCTTTGCAGCTGGTTGCTTAACTTAACTCTCACAGCGTGTTTGTCTGCTAACACATTGGATGGTGTGTCTGGCGCACAGCTAACGTGTGTTCGGCTAACAGTTAACAAAACAACGATACACGTACAGCTCTGCTGGGTACGTATAGGCTGCGTACCTGAACAAATACTCAGATGTGAACAGATGATACATCCAAGTGTCTTATGAAACATACAATCAGTGAGTATTAAGCAAACGGCACAGGAAGGGATTCCACAATGTTATAAGCGGTCTAAAGTGAGGTTGATGCAGCACTTGACCACATGAACAAAGCTCTTTATGCTGTTCTCATGGACAATCGAGCCAGATTAATCACATTTAACTCCTTTGCCCCTCCAGCACTTTCAAAAATGCTTAAATAAACAAAAAGGTATTTTGCTTGTATCACCGTAATAATCTAAACTCCAAAAGTCCAGTCACACCCCCCCGCCTCCCCTCCTCTCACACACACACACACACACACACACACACACACACACACACACAGAAAGACACACATCTTGACATAACCTCAGCACCATTCATTAGTGGGAAACAATTAGTTGGAGCGTGGAGGCACCTCGGATTAGATTCATTATGCGAACAAGCTCTCATGTGCCGCTGAAGCCCGAGCAGCGCCTCAGCCAGAAGCCCCCCGCGTCCTCTGCGTTCAGACACAACAGCCGTTAAACAGTGTCGAGATTCAACACCAGTCCGTCCCAAGGGCGATGTGATACGCAGCATAACGGAGCGTTGAAGTGCCCGACGGCGCCAAATGAGAGTTAACAAACCAAAATCAATTTTAAACACAGGGCCGGGAGAGTGGCCGTGGACTTCATGCACGCCGGGTTCACTTACACCTCGAGGAAGAACGATAAAGCGATGGTACCCTCGAGTGCCTCGCAGCGGAAAGGCCCACTACCTCATGCTCGAGGAAGTAAATCTAGAGGCCCCAGGAGAGGAAGGAACCCAAATAGCCTGTGAACATCCACTTTCTATCATCGGCCTTCGGGTGCGCTAATGAAACTACTCTAAAAAAGAGTCATGGGTCAGAAAAACATGCTTGGGTAATTGTTGGTTAGCAATAACAGTCCCTTTCAACGGCTTGCTTGCATAGGGCAACATTGTTTCCCCTTTGAGGCTAAATTAAAAAGCGCGGCTGCTTTAGGGGAAAGTGGCACCTCCTCGCTGATTAAGAACTTGTTAATTCACTCCAGTTTCCCCCACGAATCCGATTCTGGTGTCTGATGTGACCGCTCTGCTCCTGCGAGATTGACTTGACCGAGCAAAGAGAGAGCACAGTTGACCTTTGTAACAAAATATTGGTTAGATCTACTTTAAAATGATAATTAGACCGGTACAATAAATAAATAAATAGTACTGTTCATAATATATATTGTTCTTTTTTGGTGTATATATTTCTTTATAAACTTCACTCTTTTGATAATTATAATTTATAATTATAATCTTCACAGAAAAGCAAACTAAAATTGTGTAATGTAAATGATTAGCTAGCGCATGATCTATTTATAAGCTATTAGTCAATCAATCAATCTCTCTTACTTTGTAAGGTTCGCCGAACAGGTTGAATCCGGTTGAGAACAGGTCTTCATCCTGTTGGACCTCCTGGTTCCTCCTCTCCCACTCCCTCCTCTTCAGGGCGCTGCGATCCGACTCCAGATGACTGGGGGGGGGGGGGGGGGTCACACAAAGAGAAGACAAGCTTGTTAGCACCCTCACTGAGGCCGACACGCCGCCTGCCGCTGGTTATTTTAATTTCTAACAAGTGTGTTTTATGGATCTGCACCAAGCGTTGGCTGTGTGCAGATCCATAAAACACTGTGTGGTAGCTGGTAAAGGCCAAAAAAATAACACACACACACAAAACAAAGGGTAACTCAGGTCAGTTCAAAACTGATACAAATCCAAAGTAGAAAGAGAGCAACATAAAACAAAGCTAAAGGCTGGTTTAAGCTCCAAAGTAACAGCAAGAACCAACTGAAGAAGAGTGGCGTGTGTAAAAACATCAAGCTAGACTTAACATAGATTTGGTGTTCAATTTATCAAAACCGTCTGGACAGGACATGGCCTCCTTTCACCTCCCCCGTCCTTCGGTCTTAAACATGCCACAATGACCTCGTCCCTTTCAGACCCATAAACGGTCGTCCCAGCCAAGTGTTACTTCTGGAGCGTTTACAACATCGTCTCACGTTTATTTGCATCCCCTCATCGCTGTGATCGAGAGCTTTTTTTTAGTCGAGACTTTTGCGTGAACTCTGGCGGTCTTAAATTTGATTTGTGAAGGCTGTGTGACCTTCATCCCATGCTGCTACAGACCAGTGCGCTGACACAAAACTTATTTTATTTCTTTGTTTTGTCAAAACAAGATCAGCCAAGGTTAATATATTTCAAAATTCATGAGGAATGGTACTAAAGGTTTTGTTTTGGAGTTTAACTTCCTGTTTGCTGAAAAAAATGTCTGGTGCAGAAGAAGAAAGAAAAAAAGAATGTCGCCATAGCAGATAAACAACACTCTTATATCTCTGGGTTCTGCATACAGCGGGGGGGGGGGGGGGCAGCTAAGGCAATTAGCATAGCATAAATACTGGGTAACACAGTTGTGTATGCCCTTAATACCACCTGGAAGGCCGCAAACTCTTAGTATCTTATTTACTCACACAAACAAAAATCCCAAAATTTTAACACGACAATGTATTTTCTTCTAAGAAATAATTGACTCATAGAACTCATCCCAGACCAACAAATGACTCCAGTCTTTATGCTAAGCTAAGCCAATCCCCTTCTGTCTCCCGCTGAGGACAAAGTCACTGGAGTCGTACTGAGCTTCTCATCTACTTCTGAGAATTCAGATTGAAAAGATCCCTGTAATAAATGAGCTTTTACTCGTCCCGTAGTCACAGACTGTGTTTGTCAGACATAAAAAGTATTGTTATTTTTTTTAACGTATTTACTTATGTAATCCGCTATATATATACTTTTTTCTTCTTTTAACTGCACAGTTACTGATTGACCCGATGCCACCCTTAAACTTTCACAGTCACAAGAAACCCCTGAGAAAATCTACAAGCCGGCAGCCAACCTTGTGGGTGCGTGCTGGTGATTGACCGCAAAGCTGTGGCCCGCCGCCCCCGGGAGGGAGGTCTCAGTTTCATCACATCCACCACCGCCACATGAGACAGGCTGGCTAATTAGCATTCAACACAATTAAGAGAGACTCTCTCTTTTTGTCTACCAGGCCTTGCCTTCAACATTCATCCTGTCAGCAAGTTGTGAGTGGGAGGGAGAGGGAGCGCAAAGGCAACAAGAGGAGAGAGGGAAGAAGAAGAAAGAAAGAATCTCAGAGGCCCATGGGAGAGAAAAAGAAAAAGAAAAGGGTTTCAGGGCAAGCGTTTCTAACGGTTTCTAAAGGGATAGAAAAATAACCGAGTGATGAAAGACAAGAGGGGAGAGACGAGGGAGAGGGAGGTAGAAGAGGAGGGAAAAGGCAGAGGATAGCAGAGGGAATACCAGAGCAAAGTGATTGGCAGGTGAGGTGCGTGCGTTACGTCCGTGTGCGTGCATGTGATCGCTGCGCGTGCTGGGACCGCTGGTCGACATGCGCATCGCCTGTGAGCGCAGAGAGAGAACTGACACAGCTGTCAGTGTGACACACAAACAGACACACAGATCTCTGTCTGTCACCTGCTAGACGTTGAAATAGGGGGAATCGGGTCAGACGAGGTAATTAACACATCCAGGATTTACTGCCACACGCGTGTGACTCTACCAGTCACACGCAGGTTAAACTGACACTCGTTTTTTTACACATCAATGAATTTACTTACTTTTCTCTCTTTACAGGTTTTCTAACCACAGCGCTAAGATCAGTCAGGTCAGTGAAACTGTTTAACAACAACAAGTAGAAATTAGTTTTAACTCGATGGCAAGCTGCGTGTGGCTGAAATAGTCTCTTTGAAGTAAATAATTATGCAGCCAGTGTGGAATTGGGGTGTTGGGTTGGTGGCTGGCGGCTGGTGAACGTGGTGCTTGGAGTGCTAGCCCTTGTTTAATTCTAGAGGAAGAGGTGAAGGTAGCAAGGTCTTGGCTCTGGGAGTCTTCCCATCAGGGATCCAGGATCGTGTAATGGGATGATGGCCCTCCATCAACTTCACTCAGCTATGACATAAAAAACTGACCTGCAGTTATTGACCTAGCCAGAATACATCATTAGTCCACTGTCTTTTTCAACTAGCAGGAAGTCCTTCAGCATTTGGGAATAAAATACATCTTTAACGCTGCTTGACTTTCAGATCTGACAAAACTATGGAATTGAGTGTATCTTTTATATTGTTCATTCAGTACACATGATATCCGATGTAGTCTGCCCATCCGGGAGAGGGATCCTCCTCTGACGTTCTCCTCAAGGTCCCTCCCCTTTTTTCCACATTTTGGTATGGAGGATGTCGCATGTGTCACCCTCAAACGAGATTCAGTATAATATTAATCATCAAAAAATAATCAGTATGCTATAATATGTATATATGTCAGTCTTCTTGTCTGCTTTAATGGCGATAAAATCTGCGCTCTTTCCGCATTGCCAACAGATTTTCCGGGGAAGTTGCTACAAGCAGGTCGATTTGTTACTAAAGTTGCAGTCATGAATTCATTACGTAATAACGTAAAACATAAAGCATAGTATTTACGTAGAATACAAAATAAGGCAACTCAAATTGACTGTCCATCTTGGCAAAAAATATGTCAATATATGTCATATGTCAATATATTTGATTTGTTTGTTCATTATGACATTTTTTTATTTTTTATTTAAACACAACACATTTTATATGATCAGATATTTTTAAAAACAACATATTGAATTTTAGAACAATTACACGTTACATATAATTGAACAATTAAATTTCTTTTCTTGTTAATAAATCCACACATTCTGAACCATTATAGTTCTAAGCAGTCTATTGGTAGTTACTTATGATGCTACCAAACTGTTATTGGTATAAGCTAATACTAAGGTATATATGCTATTTTATTGAACCAGCAACTTAACTCAAAGTGTGCACAAGGCATCTCTTTCCAGCTGTCTCCAGGCTGTTGTGCACAAGCTGAGCGCCTGTTGAAGTCACTCACAATGCACTTCTGCAGCCAGGCACATGTTATTTTTGTCATTTAGAGGGAAATTGTGTGCATTTTTGCTTTTGAGTCACTTTACAAAAGTTGCTAAAAGTGCCAAATATATTTTTTTAAATAGCTAAACTTGTTAGGTGCCGTTTGGAAAAAAAAGCAGTCAGGAAAGTTGCTGAACTAGCAACAAAGTTGCTAAGTTGCGCTCTTTACTTCATCCAGTCCTTAAGAATGTGTAAGCTTGGGGCAAACCAATTTTCCCTCAGGCTGTCTATTTAAGAATGCTGATGGCTAAATTGTACATCATACAATTCTTTTTTAAATTGGCAATTGGCTAAAGTGCTTCATAGACCCGCCTTCTGCCGGCAATCTTGAGAAACAAAACCCGCATAAAGACAGGACGTGCGTATGACAGGCAGGCACTCGCCCGGGTGACACGACGAGTGCCATGTACTACAACACTCACTGAGAAACCGAGCATTGCTGAAGCATTTGTGTAATTACGACTGACCATAGCAGACTCACCAGTTAGAGTAATACTCTAATTGAGTAAAACCCTAAGTAAAGAAAGTCCCTTTCCCTTGAAGGGATTCAGTTTGCAGGATATTAAAACAGTAAGTATGTGCTTTCAAGATTCATATTTCACGGCTGTTTATCATAGTTGTTATTTTTCCAGCGTCTAGGCGTAACAGTCTCAAGCTCTTTCCTGGGGTGTCGAAGTTATGACCCGGCCTACTCTGTCTGTGATTGGCTGGTACCTGGCAAAAATCACCTTGAATTTTTTTTAGCTGCTTTTAAAGTTTATTTGTAGACTCTAAAAAGGGATTCAACCACTAAAACACAAGGAATTTGTCTATTCACAAAACCAACAAAGAAATGATTGATGTATTGTTGCATTACATTGAGACATACTGTGTTGGAAGTGATAAGCTTTAGTCGTGACTCAATAGCCAGGCCAGTCCCATGAACAGCCAACAACACTTGTTCAACAAACAGTTTCACCATTTAGGGGAAGAATATGAACAAAATCTATCTAGGTTGGGTTTTGCCTTCATGCATATGTTTTCTTAATGTGCTGTGCTTTAACTTTTCAGGGCCACCGTAGTTTCATCCACATCAGAAAGCAAATCTATTTGGATTTAGACTTTGAGCCATAAATATTAAAATATTATCCATGTTTTGATCCCAAATCCTAACATTCGTTTCTGATAATATCACCTGTTGGTAGACCACACTCACAGATAATAACACAACATCCACTTTTGAAATACCGAAAAGGAAGAAAGAAGGTACGGAAGACAGAGGGATGGATGGTGGACAGACGGATGGACAGATGGGTTTGGTGGGGGATTAATACCAGTGGTGACATCCGCAGTGGGCATGCTGTCGATGTTGATATTTTCTCTGAATAAAACTGTAGCAATGGCAGCTTTCTTTCCTACCACTCTGCTTTCCTTCTGCGCGTGTCCAAAAGGAATGGTGATAGCCACAGTAAACTCTGTGAGTTCAATCTAGTAGAGCTATACTGTGCTCCGCTGATAGTTA